CTAGTTCGGGTCCTGAAATGTCTGCAAGAAAACAACCAAGCTCAGAGAGCACCGGGGATTCCTCAGAGTCTGTTTTTTGTGGGGATGTGTGGGTTAATGGCATTGTTGGCGATTGGGAAAAGAGGCAATTGGGTCAAACCATTTAAGAGCCACTGGTCTAGAAAACTAATCATAAAACAGGGAAATGAAAAAAAAAACAGAATTGCAATATTTCCACTCCCACCCCCTCTTGTTTAAAATCTCTTGATTGAATTCTGCTTAGAAAGAAATACAGGAATTTGGGGGGGGGGGGAGAGCTTTTTGCATCCTGCTGTGATAACCAGGGAATTAGTCTGGAGCAGCGTTTCTCAACCTCAGCAACTTTAAACATGGGCGGACTCCAATTCTGGCAAAGAAGATTGTGTTCTGGATCAATTCGTTTGGCGCGATCTGAATAACAAGAGTAGAAAGGGACCTTGGAGGTCTAGTCCAGACATGTCAAACACAAGGCCCGGGGGCCAGATGCGGCCCGCGACGTGGTTTCATATGGCCCGCGAAGCCATCCTGGAAACAGTGAGGGGAACGGACCCCGCTGCCTTGGCCCTGGCCCAGGCCGGCCGGGAGCCAATGTACAATTTTGTGGTGGCCATCTATGCTGAAATGCATTCAGTCTTAGCTCCTCAAGGCCATCTAGAAACAGCGAGGAACCAGCCCCTGCCGCATCGGCCCCGCCCCCTGGGTGCATGCTGGGGAGGTGTCACCCTTTGTGAGGAATGAAGAAATGGACCGTGCCTTGGCGCTTGCCCCAGTCCCACCCCCTCCTGCCAGAGACCCTCAGATCTGTCCCACTCCTGCCCAGGCCCCCCACAGGCACCCTTGACGCGAACGATGTAGAGCTGGCCATGCCCACCCAGTAGGCCACACCCACTCCATCCACGCCCACCCAGTAGGCCGCACCCCCCCCCCGAGGGCAACCGCGATGCTGCTGCGGCCCTCAATTAAATTGAGTTTGACACCCCTGGTCTAGTCCAACCCCCTGCTCAAGCAGGAGACCCTATGACATTTCAGACAAATGGCTGCCCAAACTCTGCTTTAAAAACCCTCCAATGATGGAGGATCCACAACTTCTGGAGGCAAGTGGTTCCACTAATTGTTCTAACCGTCAGGAAATATCTCCTGGTTGGTTCTCTCTTTGAGTAGCTTCCATCCATTGCTTCCAGTCCTGCCTTCAGGTTCTTTGGAGAATAAGGTGACACACACACACACCCTCTTCTTTGTGGCAGCCCCTTAGGATCCAGCAAGACCTGTTCTCGCCTGGAAATGTTGTAGCATTTCGATAACAGTGCCTAGTTCTTCTTGACAGGTGTTTCACGTCCCTCTGGAAGAGCGACGCTATAAGGACAACAGCCAGTTTGGAGAAGGCGATGAGGCCAAAGTCTGTGTGGACATCATGCAGAAGACGGGGGCTCATATTGAGCTTTCCTTGGCCAAGGACCAGGGCCTGTCCATCATGGTGACTGGCAAACTGGACTCTGTGATGAAAGCACGGAAGGAAATTGTCGCTCGGCTTCAGACCCAGGTAACACACGGCGCTCCCTCGCTCCACAGGGCCATCGTGGCGATAGCGCGCCATCTCCCGCTCCCAGTTCAGCACTTAAAAACATTGTAATTAACATTATTGAAGGGTTTCCAAAAGCAGAGGCATCACCCTGCCAACAAAAGTGCGTATAGTCAAGGCCATGGTTTTCCCAGTTACAATGTATGGATGTGAAAGTTGGACCATACGACAAAGAATTGAGGCCTTTGAACTATAGTGCTGGAGAAGGCTCCTGCGAGTCCCCTGGACTGCAAGGCGTTCAAACAGGTCAGTCCTAGAGGAGGTCAACCCTGACTGCTCTTTAGAAGGCCAGATCCTGAAGTTGAAACTCAGATACTTTGGCCACCTAATGAGAAGGAAGGACTCACTGGAGGAGAGCCTCATGCGGGGAAAGATTGAGGGCAAATAGAAGAAGGGGACGACAGAGAATGAGGTGGGTGAATGGAGTCACTGAAGCAGTAGGCA